TGATCTGACATATACATTTTCCACTATAACTGTTAAGCAAATTCTTTCTTCACTAGCTGGCAATATTTGGTCATGCCGTGGCTTTGTTTGTAAGAAGGAATTGCCCTTATACAAATATCTGTATTCTATTTTAGAATAGGTAGAACTATTCAGTTTACACATTGATAAAATCAGTCTAATCAGCCCAGTGGCTTAATAGAAATAGAAGTCCAGTCTTACAGAAGACATGGATTTTGTAGCATTCAAGTTTTACCTTAAGGATGGAGACTTTTAGAGCTATGAAGAAAACAGAAATATGAACATCACACTAAACAGATTAGTTTAAACCATATTCAGTGTCATTTTAAACTACTGTTGGGTTTTCCACTGAAGTGAACTAGAAACACACATACTGTCAGCATCCATGACTCAGATGAGAAAAAGCTGCTGATACATACGAGCAGAAGGAATAGTTGTGGTCTCACCAAGCTCCGTGTAGCTTCAGCCACTGGTATTTGCAATTCAGTAATTCTGTTTGGAGACCTTCTCACTCTGCTGCATAGCGCATCATGAATTGGCCTGTCTCAGACTAGTCTTTCAGCTTGTGGAATTGGTGTAGAAAGAGACTCAAGAGCTCAAAACTTCTTGGGCAGAGACCTAGAATCGGTGCATAAAAGCAACCCTTACAAATAGCCACACTTTAAATCAGCTACTTTTGCAGCTTACACAGAGTTTAGCCCCAATCTCTGAAGTCTAAAGTTAATCAGATTTAGCCTGGAAGTACCTCCCATATTTGTTTGCTTCATGACCAACATTTGTCTCCCTAGTTTGTACCATAAAAGCTAGCATATTGTCATTAAAATCATTGAATATTATTTGCCATAGCCTACTATGCTTAGTATCAGTCAAATACTTGGTACAGGACTGAAGACAAAACATGCTTGCATCTCATATTCCTGTCTAAGTCTATCTGGTTTTAGGGGATTATAGCTTTCATCAGATCTGAGCAAGGTGTTAATGATGAAGGAAAACTCATTAGTAATAGCACAAGATAAAATAAATGGTACTGAGTATTATTCTGGGGGGAAAGAATGACACTGAAAGCTTGTTCTTTATTACCTGCAGAGGAGAAGAAAGTAAAGAGCACTAAAGTGGAAGCAAAAGTTAAAAAGGAAGCGAAGGATGGAAAAGGAGAAGCAAAGACGACTGAGAAGGTCAAGCAGACCGAGACTAAAACAACAGAAATTGGGCTAATAAAGGCCAAACCGAAAATTAAAGAAGAGAAAGCTCTTCAGACTGTAACTAAATCGGAAAAGAAAGGTAAACAAAACCAGGAGGAAACAGAGGAAGATCTTAAAAAGGTAGTAGGGAAGAAGCAGAGAGAATGAAGTTAAAGCTGGCAAGGACCAAAGTCCACCCATGAAAAACAAAAGTGCAGTACAAATAAATTCCAGATGAATCTCAGACTGCTAGAAGGAGACTATCAAGAATAAATTAAGTTTAATCTAAATAACCAGAATGTTCTAACTGTTTGTCATGGCTAAAGTTTCATTTTAGTTTAAATCCTTCTTTAGCAAGGACCAATTTCTCTTCAGATAGGCTGGTGTCTTCATGGATTTTCTCAGTAGCATCTTCTGTAGTGTATTGTTAATAAAGTTATTTTGGAAAATACAGACTGTCCAATGACCTGCTGGGTCATCTGCACGTCTTTTGTAACAAGGAAAGTAGCAGCAGAGGAAAGGGAATGTAATAATTTGTATTACATCAGATTATATGAGGCATTGTCATGTTGCCAGGTATTGTATGACGTAGTGATATACCTGTCTGATGTAATTTGATGTGATCAGCTTCCAAATTTCTCCTAAAAAGGAAAGAAATGCCATTACCCTGGTGAAAGGAAGAAATTAAGTGATAAAACAAAGGATCAACATGCATCGACGCCAAACACAAGTGTCAGCTATATGCTGCTCTTTGTCAGAGTCAGCCTGGGTTCGTCCACTCCCAAGTTGGCACTGACTGGTCCCCTGATTTCCCTGTGGCTCTTCCATGGCGTTAGGTACAATTTTGTATGAATGAAGGCGGCAGGACCTGGCTCTCTGTACATGTTGCCACACTGCAGGCACAGGATTATTCTGACATTAATAGAGGCAGCTCAGCATTGCGTGGCGCACCTATCTGATCCTTTCAGCTGATAACCACAGATAAATCATTATGCCTGAGCATCAAAGCAGCCATCTCTGCCTGGATATCTGAATCTGCCCAGGCAGATTCTCTCAGAATTTCAAAGCCATCAGCTCTGGGCCCCTTAGGAGTTGCCTAAATTATACATTTCTAGAAATCTGAAAGGAGAGATTTTGAGACAGAACCCCCTTTCTGAAATGCATAGTGTGCTGAACCAGTATTTTTTAGCATTTATTTCTATTCTAGTTAATTTTGGTTTTTACTTGAAATGCTGGAGCCTTTGAGGCATAAAATCAAAGCAGCATCTTTCATGCTGATTGCTGTAACCAAGGGGAAAGTTCAGCAAATTGTTGAGCTCCTCTTGGGAGGTGCAAATCCTTTTCAGTTTTTGTTTGCTCTGACAGAGTTTCAGTGCACAGTGGAATCCACTCCATACTGTTCAGGATAAGGCTCTCAAAAAGCAATGGTGTGCAGATGAGGCACTTTACTCCCTGACAGCAAAATATTTTAAGTAAGTAGGGGTCAAAGATTACAGAGAGCAATAGATAGTGGTGATGATTTTTCATTTGTTTGTTTGGTTTTTCTGGGTTCTTTTCCCCCCCCTTTAACTGATAAATATTAGCAAAATGATCCATCTTAACATCAAACATTAACAGATCACTTTGTAAGTCCGCTTTAGAGTGTGACCCCAGTGACTGTGCACCGAACCATGGCAGGTGAAAGTGGGAATGAGCAGCTGGAGTGGAGGAAGGAAGGAGCCTCTTCAGCTGCCCTTATCACTGGAGATAGGGCTACACCCGTTCGGTGAAAGCTGCCTTTTCTACTTTCGTCCTTCCTTTTTCCACCATAAGCCACTGCTGCCCAGTTGGATACTCTCAGAAAATTCAGTTCTATATTTCAGTCCCACTGTGACCCAAGGTGAACGTAATTTTGAAGTCAATGAGGGTTTGCCAAGATTTCCTGATCCTGCAACCCTTACTTTTCCTTGCTCAAGGGAGTAGTTCTGCCAGCTTTTCTGCAACAATGTAAAAAATATAACAGTAATCACAGAAGATTTGTTATGATTTCCCTGCTGTTGCATCATTCCTTACTCAAATTAAAATTAAAAAAGATAGGTCATCTCCCAGGGTAAATCACATGAGGCCCAATGACAGAAATATCTATGACCATTTTTATCAATAAGAATCTAGGCCCAAACCTTGACGTGATTTATTAGTACTCAGATGAATATTTGTGCCACTATTACAGAGTTATAAGGTGAAAACTACAGTGTGAAATTCTCTTTTTAACAAGGGAGTTTAAATTAAAATGAATTTTTAGCCATGAAGAGACATTTGGAAAATCATATTCATTTAAAATTCCTTAGGTTTCAATGTTTGCTGATTGGCAGAATTCCCATGAACTCAATGGGATGTTACAGTGCACCTTATTATTTCATATAAAGTAGAAATGCTATTTTTGTTATTCAGAGATTCTGCCTTCAGGTTTTTTTTTAAATCCCGGTTTTCAGGGGTTGAATTACTAAAGAAATCCTACAAATTACATTCCACAAAAAAAAACCCAAACAAACAAAACCCCCCAAAACCAAACCAAACAACCCCCCCTCCCCCAACCCAAACACCCACAATCTATTTTAATCCTGGTCTGTCTATATTACTATGTTTAAAAAATTGATTATTTTAGTATCAATGAAATGATGTGAGCTGCTAGGCCCTCAGGCTATGTCTATGTCATAACCTAAATAGAACCAGCACAGGCTTGTGCTCTGTCCATACAACTTATGTCCCTGACACAGTTTTGTCCCATCCCATTTAGCAGTCTTTCGTACAATGCCCCAGAATGGTCCAGGGGCTCTTCCCAATGGGCAGCATGGATGAAGGCAGCTTGTTTTGGCAAAAGAGGGGAAAGGAAAACTCAGCTTTGTGGGCGAGAGCTGTGCCCTGCCATTTGCTTTCTGGGCTAAAGAATTGGTCTTGGTCCATTTTTATTTATTAATACTGAGGCCCTATTTGCAAGTGTGTTGAAGTCAGTGCAAACACTTTCCTGACTTCAGTGGCTTTAGATGGGCTTACTGAGAGTAGAGATTTGTACATGTTTTCTCACACATATGCTGCTACTTTTTTCAGAAAATTTGCACATAGACTTAGGGCAGATATTGCAGCCAAATTCTTTAGATTCCTTAAGGATGGAATCCAAAGCTGGAGCCAGCCAGAATGATAAATTTGCATTCCTAAGTATGAAAGTAGAAACTATTATGAATAGTCATTAAAGGTTTTAAAAACAGTGTTTATAGCCACAGCCCTGTGTACATCCTGAAAGGTTTGCCCCAGGTTCTACAATACTGACTAGTATTACCCTCGCCATCTCAGTAACAGGAAATAGCTGCATGGGCTCCTATCGACTAGTAGAAACAACTGGATATTTGCCCAGCTTGTAAACGCTTTCCTAATTTCTACAACTGCATAGGAAATCATGACTCGAAAGCTGCAGTTCTCCACCCAAGGACTTCTATGGCAGTCAACGTAACAGAGCAGCAATCACATAAAATCTTCAGCATCAACTAATACTGATGCTCCAGTGAACTATGTAAGAAAGCAAATAATACAATGAGTGTTATATACTTGGGAACGTCATTTTGCATTTAAATATAACAGTTATGCCATTTTTTAAATCTTAAGTATTCCAAAGTCTGCATAATTTTGTTTTGAAGTTGGCAAAGAGAAAGTAAGCGGCTTTGTAGGTGAGTAGGAGAGAGAAGCAACAGGAGGTGGAGAGAGGAAGAGATATAACTTCTGTAGCCTAGGAACTGTGCTAGAACAGTCTAGGACAGATGGATGAATATGCTTAACTCCAGGACAGTTGGGAACTAGCTTAGCTAACCAGAGCTGGCATTTAGTCATCAACATTAACTTTCAAAGCTAATGTCCCTTAGAGTCAAGTGGGGCAAATTGCTTTTTTCTGGACAACTGGAGAATCCAGCAATAATATGTAAATTCTTTTGCACTCAGTTACAACTGGTAACTTTTATTCACCATTCTTAATGTTAGAAATTTTTATTAAGGTCTTCAACTCTGCTTATGTATAGGAGAAATCAATACACAATCAACATTTCTGAAATCAGAGTTTCATTTAGATTCAGAAGCCTTAATTTCTGAATAACATAGTTTTAATATATATATCTCTCCAGATTTAATATAGACATATATTTGTAAAGATTAGCATTTGGAAAATAATTCTGTAGTGAAACAATAAAATTCTGTGGAAAATCTCATTGCTACAGGAGTGTAAGTACACAGAGTTCTCTTTATATTCCCATTCACTAAATGTACATATTGATTATACTGTTAAAACAATATTAACAAAATACTGTGATATAAAACTTTATTGATTTTTTCTATCACCTGGCTGCGACTATTTGAAATGGATCTTCAAGGATAAGAAAAAGTCTTTGGGACCTGTGGCCAGGCAGCAGTTTGCACAGTACTTGCGCATGGGGTCAGGACGTATGCCAAAACCGAGGCTGCACACTGCTGACCTGGGGTGTGCACTGCGCCCTGCTGGCCCAGAAGAAGAGTTAGTTGTTAAATCGAAACAACATTAAATAGAAACAACTGTTAAATAGAAACAACATTTTAAATTTACTTTCTCCATTACTCTTTTTTTCCTTTTTGCTCTGTTAGATCAATATGCATTCTGTCGCTATGTGATTGACATGTTTGCGCAAGGGGATTTTTATCCAGGTACTTTCCTACATCATTGAACTCTGTTCTAATATTCTTCTGTTTCCCTGAGAGTTTCTGCTCCTTTATGTATTAAAAGTGTGTTTTGTATTGTTGAAAGCTCTCACAAGTGCAACAAAGGGTGTGCAAATAGTTTTAATAAAGCATAAGAGCTAATGGCTGTATTATTAAAGCTTTTAATTTTCTGTCTACATTGCATGCATTAAAATTAAGGTTATGTTAAAAGTAGAGTCAATGGAAGGCTATAGAAATTGCTAAAATTTTCCATGCTTTTTTTGGCTGAGATGCAAGAGGAAAGAGCTTATTGTTAATAACTTATTGGGTTTATTGTTTTTTTTTCCCCACAAATACCAAGCCTTAACCCCAGAATGCTTCAAAAATAGAACAGCCATTGTTGTTCTTAGTATATAAAATATCTTAGCTGATCCATCACTTCTGTGCTCTATCTTCTTTCTTCCCACGTCTCCATGCTCATCTGTTCTAACACAGACACTTAATTCTTAGCCAAAAAAAGAAGCTAGAGCTACTGATGATGACTGAGCATCATATCATAATATTAAGTCAATCTACCCTGACCTTATTAAATGGACACTCTTCCTTCTGAAATCCAGTGCAAGAGGACATACTATAGAGAGGGCATAATCCTAGGAATGATAAGCAACAATATTTATGAAAAGAGTCAAGGATAGAATATTTAGGGACACACTAAACCTTACAAGCTTTGTTTAGTCAGTTATTTGCTCAAGAAGCTCTCTGCTGGTCCTTCTCTGAATTGGATGTGTTTTCTTACCTCTACTTTGTGGCTTAGGTCCTCTCTTGGCATGCCCAGGTCCAGTCAGAGCTGGGAAGTCCTAAGGAAGTAGCTGAGAAACAGAGACTCTCAAAATGGGGAGAGGGAGGACACAGATTTTTGTGGAGGGAAAATGAACAAGCTTGGGATTTTGGAGGCACAGAGAGGGTTTGTATTGCCTGTTCTCAGAGAGTGACATGGAGAGATAGGGGATTCCATTAAAAGAGACCAAAATATTATATCACCTCTAGGAGTTTTAAAGACAGCTGGTTATAAACAGAGGGACTGGACTAGACTCAGAGTGGGAGAAAGGTTAGCAAAACCTTCCAGAGACCTTCAGTTACACTTTGATTTAAAAAATAAACCCCTGTACCAGATGTGATTCATCTAGTTTCTGGCTTTATACAGCTGTACCATTAATAAATCACAACACAGAGACTTGCATGGAGATCTTCAAGAACTCTTATAGTTCTCCTGACATTTGCAAGCAGCTTTGGCACGTCAGAGCTCTTTTTTCCAGATGGCTCCCTGGGCTGTTTGACACTCTCCTAAGGCAGAACAGACATGCTGTGGGAAGGGAGTTTTGGAGAAGATTGCTTTTCAGTTTTGACCTTTCCAGCTACGAGGAAACTGGGAAGACCATGAAGGGGAGCAGGGAGATAGAGAGGGAAGTCTGTAGTGACTTGAATTTCAGAAGATAAAAGACATGACTGTCTGCTCTTGCCTCCCAATGTTTGCCTTGTGTCATTTCAGTGTGCTATGACAGAGTTGTGCTAAGAAACCACAGGTTAAACAGATGAAAAATGTTCAGTGGTCATTAGGTGGTCAGCTGGCCTTACAGGTGAACAGCTAGGGTGACAGCTTGAGGCCCCAGAAAGTGGGAATAAGTCATAAAGCAGCTGAAATCATCTGATTTATAGGTGAAAAGGAAGGGGACAGCCCCTTAACTTAGGGTCTCCAAAAGTCCACCCATGGCTCCACCTGTAAAGCAACTGCTTTTTGACATGCTAAGTCATTTGTCAACATCTGAAGTTAAATGCTGTGAACGGTTGTTGTGATGGAACCTGATGCATTTTTGCAGGAGGTAAAATAAAGCATTGCCTTCAAAATAAGCTTTAGTCAACCTACAAGCTGTGAAAGGCAATGCTGAAACATCCAAACCGTGTCTCTGAGAAGCAAGGTAAAGGCCAGGTGTGCCCAGCTCTGTGCTCTTTATAGCAATCATTGAGGAGAGTGCCACCAAACACTGCTCAGGTAGTGTTTGTTACGGCCTTTCTCAGGCAACGTGCTCATTTCACACTGGTCTTTGTGAACTGAAATATTACTGTAATTCATTTTCTTGAACAGATAAATGTGGGGAAAAAACCAGCACACTAAGTCCCTTTAATAACCCTAATATCCAATTAGCTTTAAAATCTGCTATATCTTATCCTTTTATCGGTTTATATATTTTATGGTAAATTACATTGTCCAAACAAAGAGATCTGAGTGCAATTCAGCTAAGGAATTTAATTACAGTCACTCTGACACTGCAATACTTTCAAACCAGGAATCATTTCTGTCAATCCCAATATTGCCATTTGTGAAGGAGAAAAAACACATTTTTCTCATAGAAAATTCCTTTACATAGGTATATTGGCTTTTTGTAGGATTGTTTACACCCAATGTGAATTTCTGTCTTCATGAGTTTATAAGAACAGTGTCCCACTCATTAGATTCCTTAGGCATAATATATGGATTTATAATGTCAGTAATAAGAATATCATTCAGTATTTATTCTTTGATAATTTTTTTAAAATATTTGTATTATTGAAAAATTCATATTAATTACTGGCAACATTAGATTATTTTAGGTTTACATAAATTTTATGCAAGAATCTATAGCAAAGTAGACCATTTAAAATGGCATTTTATAGTGATCAAATAATTAAAAGTAAAGCTCAGATCCTTGGGTTTCATTAATTAGATACACTTTTCAAAATATATCAATTAATACATTTTGACAGTCACCTGAACAATCTATTGGAGGTCAGCTAATGCTTTTGTGTTGATTTTAACGAATGAGGCTGAAATGTTGTTCATTTATTCAAAGTTTTGTCATGTTACTGCAGTCTTAGCTTTAAAAAATGAATAAAATGTATGTAAACTGCAAAATAAATAACAATAAATGAAAAAAAAGCCCAATAAATAAAATGGCAAAGTCATAGGAAGACATAAAAGGGAGAATTCTTGCTAAGCTGCTTCCTAAAGCGTTAGCTGGTTTTCTCTTTTCTCTGGCCAGCTTTTGTCCCTGATACTGACTAGTTTCATGCAATTACCCTATGGAGCTTATACCACTCCTGTAAATCACAATAATTATATCAATATCAATAGCAATTATCTTCCAAGACTTCTATTTTACTTTTTATAAAAGAAAAGTATCTGAGGTTCTCAGCCCTTTACAACAGATATCAGTGGAGTTTTAGCCATAAACTCAGATAGGTTTTGCTAAACCAGAAGTCCATCTCATGAATATCATGACTGCAACAGTGACCTACCCTGGATTCTACTGAGACATTTATAGATAGCCCTCTTGAGCTCTACTGTATACAGTATAAAAAAGTGCTTTCTGATTTTATCTGATGAAGTATGAAGCTTGAGAATATTTTTTACTTTCTGTCTAACATGCATGTGATAAGTGACAATTTCTCAGAGGGACTGATGAACCACCTTTCCTCCAAAGGATAGATTTTCTGATCTTGTTTATCCCTGGACTACAGTTTCTCAGCCAAGTATGGGCAGTACTGTCTCAGCATTAACAAATCGCTCTGTCCAAATTGCTTTGTACTCCTTTTGGCTGCCTGTAAATGAAGAATTAATATGCATTTCTTCCTGAGTTAATTTTCCAAGTTTTACTTCTAAAACTTTAAAACCTAAAGAGGAAAGCTTGGTTTTTAAGAGATGCTGAGACACATTGCTTCTGACTGGCACCTCTATTCTTCTACTGGCGCTGGTATTTCTGAGGTCCAAGATAGCTTTTCTGATAGGGAAGGCCACTGACTTTCATCTAGTTTCATGGATATGGTCTATTCCATGTATTTGATAATTTATTTGATATTCCTGAATTTTGTTCTGAGTAATATTTCTAGTGTTCTCATTCATTTTTTTTGGTAGTTTATTGGTAGGAAAAAAGGTTCTATTTTAGTAGAAACCTTTAACTTGATTTTCATAACTATTTTTTTGCCCTTAGAGAGTTTGAAATCCTCACCCATGTGGATGGATTTCAGGGACACTAACTGGTCACTCTTTTAGCATGTAGCGCATGCTTCTGGATCTGCTCTATTTTATTCCCCCTGTGCCATACTCCTGTTTTACCACTCCTCCCCTGCTTTCCCTGCAATGTTTGCCAGCTTGCTTTACATTTATGTTTCCTGAACCACTTTGGCAGATCAAGGAGTTGTTCCAATGAAATGCTTTTTTTATTTTGCAGCTACCTAAAGTGGATTCTTGCATGTCTGTTTTTTTGCATGCTCACCTCAGCATGTGGTTATGCATGCTGCCTACTGCTGAATTAAGAGTGATAAGCATCTCTTGGGTATTTGGTTGTAACGTGGCACCTTTGTTTCCCACAGGCGTACTGTATATTTATGGTCAGATTTTGTTTTCATTTTAATCACTTGGAAGTTTATTTTATGTGCATAGTTTTACTGTATTCTAGTTTTGGTTAAACAACTTGCATTTCACAGTACACTGGACTCACTACTGGATGATCTTTACAGTTACCTAATTGACAACAAAGACAGTGGGAGCACAGATGTGATATTATTGCCAATTTAGCCTATCTAAAATCTTTGCACTGAAGCACCCAGTTACCTTATGGAGCTTATACCACTACATGACTGTTTCCTTCCCTTCCATCAATTTACCCTCACATGTTTATTGTCTATTTCCATGCCAAGGTCTAAAAGCCAAAGTGATGCAGACGATTTTGCTAATCTTATACTGTTGAAAAAATATTTTCCTTGGAGAAATTCATCAGGATTTCTGGCACGTTTACATGGTGAGAGTGTATCCTATAGGGTAAAACAGTCATCCCACCTTCTCATTAAAAAATCATCGAAGACTCACCCTTTGCACATATGCTTATGAAAAAAGACAAACCTAGACAGTTAAGAAATTCAGGCAAATTGTGGCAAGAGTCCATAGGGAATCCTACAGTCTGCTTGGTCCC